CCCCAACAAGCTGGTTTAAAATCCAGCTTTGCCAGGAGGACCCCTCCCAACAAGCTGGTACACAGACCAGATTTTCAGAAGGGAGTCCTTCCAAGGATCTGGTTTAAAATCCAGCTTGCTGGGAGGAAACCCTCTCAGCGAGCTGGCATGTAGATGCTTGTTGGGAGGGTGTTGAAATTTTGAACTCGAAGACGGCAAGTTCTGAGGATTTTTTAGAAAAAATGGCACAAAAAAGGTGAAGGCCTTTCTTGGGAGAGGTTCACGGAAAATGAGTGATAGAACCAATAATTTTTCATTCACAAGTTAGAAGCCAGGTTTAAATAGACTAAATACAAGTGAGCAAAATGTGGTTGAGCAAATTGAATAAAAAACAGAATGTTGAATAAAAACTAAGAGACAGAAAATTATGAGGTCTTGGAAGAAACATTCATAGCAGGACTTCTCAGTCTCTTTCAGTCAAGCAAGAATAGTTAATCAAGAAAAATCAGAATTTCTACCACAGATGTTTAGGGGCGTTAATTCTAAACAATTAGCTTTTATGAAAATAGAAAAAGAAAGAAGTCAATCATTAAGACAAAAGTTGTTGATAAATTGCTATTGTGAGTTCTAATTAGACTACTAAGATGCATAAGATTCAACAAAAAACCAGCTATGACAAACTATAATTCAGTCTATTTCAAGATGATTGAAGAAAAGTAAGAGGGGAAGAAAGTAAAGGAAAGAGGGACTGATTTTGGGGAAGAGTAGGAAGAAGAGGTGAAAACTCAACAGAGGGGTTCCTCCCAATGGTGTGGCCTCTGCCCCTCTAGGCCAAGGGGGCCAGGCTTTGTTTTCTTTACTTTTTTTTGCAAAAAATTTTGCTCTCCCGTGTTTGCCCACCAGTAAAAGGGCGGGTATCCGCGGATATCCGTGCGCATACCCGCTACTACTAGCGGATGCAGATGCCTGATTCTGCTGAAATTGTCAGCGGATATCCGCATCCGCGCGCATATCTAAATTTGAATTGACCATCTCTAATCCATTTGGAGGAATGACTCCCGCCAACGCTGAAACAGATACGGTATCTGCCATGTATCTGCCATGTATCACTATGTATCTGAGCCCCAATAAAAAAACTATCTGAACAATCTACTTTTATTTGCAAGGAGATTCAACATATTTTGTTTTTGGCCATGCAGCTTTGCAGAAGTCTTCATGATACACACAGTGTATTGTATCTGTTGCACCGTTGCCCCCGCCTGATGACCCCTCAACCAAAATGGGAGTTGTCAGCAAATTTCAGGGAGCCGTTTTTCCAACCCCCTTAAAATAAGACCAAGTCAAAATTAGAGTGATTCCCTAGTGTGATTATACTTTAGATTAGCTACCACGTAGTTAGGACAATCCCAAACTCTCTAGGTAGCACTTGTTAGCAGATACATTATTGTATAGGCTTTCACTACATTTTGTGCTTTGAAGAATGCTTGGACCATTCAAGAATTTCCAAGTCTTTAGTTTATGTGGTTGTGGAGCACAGAAAAGGTTTAATCTGGTGGTTTTTGATCATTGACTTCATTTCACAAGGGAGAGAGAAAACAAAAAAACACAAAAAAACCTGAAATCAAAATTCTGGAATGCCATGATTTTGGAACAGCAAACTTGGAAATTGGTCCAAGCTTTCTTCAAAACACAATAGGTGGAAGGCTCAACTTCTTGTGATTCAAAAACTATCTCTGCCACTCTAGATTATCTTGACCTTCCTACAATCACTCCTTCATTACAACTCCTACAACTGTTTCAAATCATCCATTTCACCAGCTGAAGTCTGTTGGAGTAGTGTTTCATTTCTCCTTTCTCTTTCTCTGCTTCATACCTGTTTCATTCCTGTCACCCACCTGTCACAGGATTCAGACTATACCTGGGCCAGAGCTCGTGGAAGGATTCCTCTCCTCATCCTTCCACAAAACCTTTCTCTGACCCAGGTATGTATTTCTCTTTTTCTCTCTTTTCTTTTCTTCTTTTCGGTGTCTCTCTCTATGTTTTGTTTCTCTCTACTGATGCAATACATCATAATCCTTCCACAAAACCTTTCTCTGACCCAGTTGAGTCCAACAGGTTATGAGCGCCAGCGCAATACTACTGCGATAAATCTCATAGGTTGTTTTAAGGATCCGTAGGCTTTTTGTCAAAGCCACTTCACATGAGCTCCCCGCCTTCGCCGTTTATAAAACCCGAATACTTCACATCGACATCGCCGAAGGACGAGCCTCTTCCTCTTTCTTTGCCTTCAAAATCTTCTCTATCGAAATTCGCGTTGCCGTTGTTCAACCCTTCATTGACCGATTCAAAACCGAACATGTCTTCGTCCACTCAAGACTCCGAGGTGGCTAGCCACCCTACTCTCAAGCTTACCAGTGTGGAACAGTTGAAACCACCGGGCTCGGAGTCCAACTACCTGGACTGGAGCTGGGTACTAGAAATCCACTTCACCGCTACTGATGTCGACTACATCATCAACGATAAGCCGGAGGACGCTAAGGCGAAAACCAATTGGGACCGCGACAACAAGGCGGTCTGCGGGATCATCTCGCGCACCATCCATCCAACGAACATCAGAAATGTTCGTCATCTCAAAAACGTTGGTCGTGGTCTTTGGGATGCTCTCAGGCGAGCTCATCAGGACTCCTCGGCTGGAGGAGTAACCTACTGGCTTCGCAAGCTCACCTCATCCCGTATGGCGAGCGACGACTTACTAGCGCACCTCGAAGACATGGCCAAGACGTTTGAACGACTTAGCTCCTTGGTAACCGCAGACGCTCCGCTGACTCCAAACGACATCTACTCGTCGTCCATTCTCACTTCTCTTCCCCCCGACTGGCTGGCCTGTGTATCCTCGATGATGAACGAACCTCGCGTGAACCCTGAACGCGTCATCGATGCTCTAAAAGCCGAGGACCTTCGTCGCAAGACCCGTTCGGCCGACCAGCCTGCCGTTGAGGCTGCCTCTCAGGCCTCTGGGAAGAGGCAATCAAAGTCGAGGTCATCCAAACAGGACCAACCAACCCCTCACTGCACCTTCTGCAACCTCGACGGTCATGATCTCAACCGCTGCTTTAATGTAGCCCGCCTTATCGAAAATCATAAATCGAATCAGGATCCACAAAAACAGAAGAAGGCTGGCCCTAATCGTTCCTCGTCCTCTGCCAACCAACCAGCGAAAGCTGGGCGTACTTCTGCGGCTCCTCTCGGGAATTTCAATGACCAACCCGACGATGAATCAGATTTTTCAGGCTCAGAGCTTGAAATTACTGCGGGGCAAGCGGCTGTTTCCTTGTCTTCCTCTCTCCTCCCTACTGTTCCTTCTGGCGATGCGAACCTCGACTCCGGTTGTTCAATCTCTATGACTCCCGACTCCGGCGCTGTTTCCTTGGCCAAACCCAACAACACTCCGGTTCGGCTTGCAGATCACTCCACCGTCGAGGCTACCCACAAGGGGATTTCTCGCCTACCGCTCAAGGGTGCCATGTCGGTCCCCACTTTGGTGGTCCCCGCCCTCGCTGAACCTTTAATTTCCATTGCGGGATTATGCGATGCTGGTCTCACGGCGGTTTTTACTCCAACTTCTTGTGATATCTACTCGACCGGTGACGTGAAGGTTTCAGGCTCACTCGTGGGTAGGGGTTACAGACGTGGAAATCTTTTCTACCTTCCCTCTCAACCAGTTGGTCATCCCTCCTCTTCTTTCACCTTGGACAACAAGATTGACAATACCCTCTTGGGATACCATCGGCGTTTCTCCCATATAGGACTCCAGCCACTGAAGACACTCCTCAAATCTCGAGGGATAACCCCAACGATTTGGAACGAGATTGATGTTCAAAAGTGCGAAATCTGCATTCAATCGAAAATGCATCGTCGGTCTTTCAAATCTCGTTCGTCCTACAGGTCTCAAACCCCCGGTCAGCTTATTCACTCGGACGTGGGTTCATTTGAAGTAACCTCAAGGGAGGGCTACAAATATTTCATCTCTTTCATTGATGATTGTTCAAAGTCTGTTTCTTTGTTTCCTATGAAATACAAAAGTGATTCTTTCAACTGCTTCAAAGTTTTTCGCGCTTTCTTTGAGAAGAGTGGTCATTTCAAGATTCAAGCTCTCCGCACCGACAACGGGGGGGAGTATATGTCAAATGAGTTCAAAAACTACCTCAACTCCTCGGGTATCCACCATAATCCTGGTCCACCACACTCCCCTCAGCTCAATGGTGTTGCAGAAAGAACAAATCGAACCGTTGGCAACTTTATTCGTACCGCACTTATCAGCGCCCATGTTCCTAAGTCCTTCTGGGTGGATGCTCTTCGCCACTCTTTCTATGCTAATGACACTTTTCCGTGCAAGACACCTGTTGGTTTCAAGTCTCCGGCGTCCATCCTGGGAAAGCCTTTGGTCGATCTCTCTCTACTCCACCCGTTTGGATGTCTAGCTTACTATAGGTTTCAGGAAGCCGATCGTAAGAAGCTGGATGTGAAGGGTCGGGCCTCAATTCTGCTGTCCTATCTGGATGATGGAAATGGATACCGGCTCTACGATCTTGAAAAGAAAACGGTAGTCAAATCCACAGATGTCACATTTTTCAAAGAAATCTTTCCTTATGGCGCCGACTTAAAGGTCACCCCCTCTCCCGTCATTGTGGAACTTCCGTGGCCAGTTGTGTCTCCCCCAACCAAGCCGGTGACCCCGCCATTGAATACAAATCCGGCGCCCATCTCCCCTTTGCCTACTCCGTCTCCTACCCGGGATAGGGTGCCTACGCCAGATCTCCCGCTTTTGGATATCCCGCTTCAGGATCGATTTGACCGTCGCCTAACAGCCTCCATTCACGCTCCATCCAACTCCCCCAAGACATCTGTCGACCCTCCCGCAACAGTTTCTGTGCCCTCTTCCTCAATACCGTCTGGAGATATTGTTCCCATCTCTTTACCTCCCCTTCCTCCTTCTCCTCCTTCACTCCCATCTGCCTCTGCACCTCCTTCATCTCCTCCCAGACGTAAATCCGGACGGGAGCGAAAGGCTCCGGAACGCTATGGGAACTGGTCCAAATCAGCAAAAATAACTGACGATATAGATACTCCCAAGACGTGGCGGCAACTTCTTAAATCTCCTAACAAACATCAATGGTTAAAGGCAGCTGAAGACGAGTTTTCCTCGCTTCTTGGGATGCACACGTGGCGTCTGGTTCCCCGGCCGGAAAAACGCAAGATCATCAAGTCAAAGTGGGTTTTCAAGGTGAAACGCCGACCAGACCGGACAATTCAGAAACTGAAGGCCCGTCTAGTGGCGATGGGATACTCTCAAATACATGGTCTGGACTACGATGAAGTTTTTTCCCCCACGCTCAGACTTGAAACTCTCCGACTGATCCTCAGCCTCCTGGCGATTCGCAAGTAGAAAGGACAACAGGTGGACTTTAAGACTGCCTTTCTCAATGGTCGTCTGGAGCACACTGTTTTCATGGAGCAACCTCCAGGCTTTGAAGATCCGTCCCACCCCGACTGGGTGTGCGAACTTGATCGCTCTCTCTACGGTCTCAAACAATCTCCGCGCCAATGGAACAACGAACTCCATCGTGCCCTGCTTGACCTTGGTCTGAAGAACTCCGCCTATGATCCCACCCTCTATTTCAAGCTGGTAAATGGAAATCTTGTGGGTGCTCTCACCACTCATGTGGACGATTTGGCCATTGTTGGTGAACCGACCTTTGTCGACCACCTCATCTCTTCTCTTGGTTCTAAATTCAAAATTGGTGCCGACGAGGACTTACACCATTTTCTCTCTCTTAAAATCTCTCGCGACATCCCCAACAATGTGGTGTACCTAAATCAGTCTCATTACATTGATGAGATTTGTGATCGTTTCCTCAATGGTTCTCATCTTCCAGTCTCCACCCCAACAGACTCAAACTTCAAGAACCTCCGCCGCAAGCAAGAATGCGACCTCCCTTCCAGTGGCCCGTATAATCAAATCATTGGCTCTCTTCTTTGGGTTTCACAATGCACACGCCCCGACGTTTCCTTTGCGGTTAACCGTCTCTCTCAGCACCTACGAGATCCCTCCGATGCTCATTGGTCTGCAGCCGTGCGCATTCTTAATTATCTGGTCACTACTAAACACCTCAAACTCAAGCTAGGCGGTCAACTCTCATGCTCTGGGTTCTCCGACTCAGACTGGGCGGAAGACAGGGATGACCGCAAGTCTACTTCAGCTTATACTTTTCGCATTGGTGACGGTGCCATTTCCTGGAAATCACGTAAACAGGCCACCGTCTCACTCTCCAGCACTGAAGCAGAATACAAGGCGATCTCTGATTCCTGCAAGGAAGGTCTTTGGCTTAGACATGTCCTCTCAGAACTACGACTTCGTCCCGGCACTGCCATCCCCATTCATGTGGACAACGAGGGAGCAGAGGCATTGGCTAAGAATCCAGAACATCACGCCCGCACTAAACATATTCATGCTCGTTATCATTTTGTCAGGGAATGTCTGGCAGATGAAGAGATAGCTCTTCTTCATGTCTCAACAAAGGACATGCTTGCCGACATGCTCACTAAACCCCTTTCTTGTCTCATGCTGGAACGACATCGTGAAATGTTTGGATTGGTTGCCTAATTTTTCTCCTTTCTTTCTTCTCCTCTTTTGTTAAATTTTTCTTCCTTATTTTTTTTTTTTTTTTTTTTTTCTTTCCTTTTTTTTTCTCTCTTCTTCTTCTTCTTCTTCAGGTCTTCAGCAAGGGGGGGTGTTGGAGTAGTGTTTCATTTCTCCTTTCTCTTTCTCTGCTTCATACCTGTTTCATTCCTGTCACCCACCTGTCACAGGATTCAGACTATACCTGGGCCAGAGCTCGTGGAAGGATTCCTCTCCTCATCCTTCCACAAAACCTTTCTCTGACCCAGGTATGTATTTCTCTTTTTCTCTCTTTTCTTTTCTTCTTTTCGGTGTCTCTCTCTATGTTTTTTTTCTCTCTACTGATGCAATACATCATAATCCTTCCACAAAACCTTTCTCTGACCCAGTTGAGTCCAACAAAGTCTGCTTGGTACATGCCCAAGCCCCAGTGGCTGAGAATCAAGTGGGACTTGAACCTGTTCCCAATTAGGTGTGATCTACCGTGAAATCTGTTAGAATATTTGATGCTGAACTCCAACCCAACTTTTGTTTTGAAAATTGAAGGGTGCCAATGTAAAAAACAAATCGGTGTTGGAATGCTCTGGATATGGTTTCTAATTACAAAATTGTAGCCAAAGCATGAATGTCAGTGTAAGAATAATATGTGTGGGCACTGATAAGAAGTTACTAGAAATTGGGCTTTCTAAGGCATGATGATTTTCTAATGATGAAAAAATGAGAGAAGGTATGAATGACGCGGAAGCAAGGAAACTCTGTAAGCATGATGCTAAATTTGATAACAAGGGCAATAAACACTTTTCAAATCCAAAAATCCCGATTGAACATGATTGGTTAGCTTGGCACCCATAGTCAAAAGAAGTCCTAAGTAATACCGAAAGAGGCTAACCAAAAATTTAACAATCGTTCCTCCTCTCAAATTCCCTCTCTTAGGCCTTTGATAGCCTTGAAATGCCCACCTCCAATCCATTCCGTCTGGGAATCCTCTTGTGCTGAATCATTTGTCATCGCCCAAGGCATTTCATCGTTTACTGCCTTGTAGAAAGATTCGTGACGTGCGGTCTGAAAGCTAAAAATTGAAGAGGAAAATGATGGCCGACGGGCCAAATCTTGAGTGCTGTTGTCAGCTCTGCAAGAGTCTGTTGAGGGACTCCTCCAAACAGAGCTCGAAATGCTCAAGTTGTCGGTCCGACGGGCCGGCCGGGGAGCAGAAGATGGAATGATATCCAACTCGCTTCTCGAACACGATAATCCTGCGTTAATCGTTGGTCTGTTCTTTTCATATTTTTCCTGGTCTTGAGCGAATGTCGTTGCAGTTCTAGCTGAGGTTGACATGGCAAGGGCTTGATGTTTTGAGCTCTGTGGAAGTGCTGGAGAGGGCGAGAAGGCCACAATGCAAGCAACCTGAGAAGACATAAAAGGAAAATCAGGCTCAAACACTAGGGAAAGGATGGCGGATTGGATGTTTTGGTACACTGACGATTCCTAGAACAAGTCCAGGCCCTCCTCTGAGAGTCGTCAAACAGAAGATCAGTGAAAGGTTCGGATGAAAGACGTAAGATATTCCAAGTGAAGAAGAATTCAACATACCCCCATGTCCAGTTTGACCATATGAACGCTTCGATCAATTCGTCTTTCCCCGAGGAGTTTGGGCTTTCAATCACTAAAATGAGAGCATGGAGTTAGTCATGCAACTCGTGTTTTTCAATTGAAAGGAAATTTCAAAAAGAGGGTACGCCGTACGCAACCAACAAGCCATTATCAGGTACGCCGAAAACATCCCCAATCCAATAATCGTTTGGCCCATGGTGCTGTACCAGTAACGAGTGGTAGTCGCGCAATGCACTTCGAGTGCCGCATCATTGATCGCCGAATGGTCTGCCTGGATAGATGTTTCTCCGATCGCAAAGGCATCCGCAAGATCTGCCCGGGAAGCGCGTACTGGTAGGTTTAACATATTAATTCGGTTCCAAAATGCATCACCATTCAAACTTTCATCCTTAGCAAAATCAATCCAAGATTTCCAAGTCCAAGGGTTGAAACTTTTGTGGGTTCGTCTGGATGTGGAGTCGCCTTCACTGGTGCAAAAGACCCAGCTTTCGCAGCTCTGTCTAACGTTTACCTGTTTCTGTTCATTCTCTTGAATCTGTTTGAGCACTTTCCGATTTTCCAATGCAGACGAAAGAACATTTTTTTGAGTTCGTAGGGCGTGTAAGAGAAAAGCCGTGGATATTGAAAACACCAGGATGTTGAAGCTCATCCAGGAAATCAGAAAGATGAGATAGCTTAAGAATAATCTGTTTGCTTTGGCACCTTCATCTTTCAAAACGATGAGATTGAGAATTGTTTGTGCTGCAAGATCTTCCGGAGGATTGGTTGATACGGAGGTTATTTGTTGGAGTAGGAGGTCAGAAATCGAAAACTGATTCCTAAACTTCTCAATCGATAAGTTTAGCGAAGTAATTAATGGTATCTGTCCCATTAGGACCGTAGTGATGGTGGTGAAAATGAAAGTATTGAATATCCGTGGCGAAACCAGCTTCCTTGTTTGCGAAGCGCTGCCAATATTCGTGTGACGACGCAACCGCGAGGAGAGCAGCGCGTACAAAACAGCCCATACTGTGTCGTGAGAGAAGTTTAAACTAGTTAGCCTTCTGATATGCAAAATATTCCTGTTCTCATTCAACATTTACTTTTTATCCAGGCAAAAACTTGAAGTATCTGATAAGCCAAGAGTTGTAGTGTAACAGGTACCGGATCGACCGGATGGTTTAAAGTCTTCTCGACAATTAACACGGCACTGACGTCCACTAAAAACAGTTTTCTTACGCCATTAGCTTCGTGCTATGAATGCTTTTTAGGTCGGGTGCTTTCCACGGCAAGGGAAAACTCAGAAAGAAATATATGGACGTACAGATGGCATAGAGGACTGCAAAGATAGGAAGAGTTGTATGCACGTTGGGATGATAGTATCCATCAACATCTTTTTTACAAATCCACATTCCACCTTTTCGTCGCTTCAAAAAGCTTGCCGCATACAGTAGTCCGCTCAGGAATGTTAGGACAGCACATAGCCTGAGTTCGATGGTCTGTGATACAGTTCGTTGAAGTATTGCACTTTGCCGGGTATTCTCACGCAAGGCGATCCATTGTTCAGGCGTTGTTGGAGTTGACATGCTGATTGCTTCCTCGTCAATGGTACTGATCCGTCTCCCAGCTGAAAAAGCGCGAATTAATGGCAATGAGTATGAGTCTAGACTTCGTAATTATACAGAAGTTTGATGAAAGAATGTGAAGAGTATTCGTATCTAAATAATTGAGAGATTTCGATATCAAGGGCACAAGAGAGCATGCAATGCCCAAAGGTTCTTGGTAAAAGCGTTCACATCCTCACAGACAGAAAGACCTTTGGTACCAAGTAGTTTGAGCCGATGCCAACCCTGATGGAAACAAGTTGACCAAAGCAGAAGCGATTTCTTCGCGATCGACGAGCTATGACCAATCCAATTATCCCAATGGTCCAAGATGCTCGAGTGGATTAGCTCTTATCTGGGAACACTTTTTTTGGTCCGGGTATACACTGTTACAGGGATCAAAGACTCTAAAACATACTCGTCACCGGTGTGGACGCATTCTGCATTGGACGCTAAGAAGAGTGTGAGGAATCTTCCCCATTATGAGCAATAACTAACTGCTGTTGCTGTAGCCATTTTCTCGCTGCAACTTGGTACCATAAGATGAGACTCCGCAAATCTAGAACAATTATCAAAGGTCATGTGGGCGTGTAGAGGTCGCAATGGAGATTCTCACATTGATAGTGATTTTCGTGCCGCATATCCTTCATGAACTAAAAATCAATCCACCGGAACGCTCCGTCGCCCACGCGCTATCAGGTCTGATAAGAGAATATACATCGGGGTCTGTGAAATTTACAAAGTGCCTTTTGCAATGCCATCCCCTTGTAAAAGTGAAACCATGTAAAAATGCACGAAATCTTCAAAGGAGTTACTTTTGCAATGAAGAAGGCAAAATCCGCACATCGCAAAAGGTTGCCTGTAAATTGGAATGTGCAAATTTCCCAATGCAGGGCTGCACTGTCAATTTCACACAGTTTTGATTCGCAATGACCCTTACTGGGGCTGCAAACGTGCACCAATTCCCCAAAATGTTGGATTTTACACAGGAACATTGCGATGAGTAGGCCGGCTCCAGATCCTCCAGCAGTATGTCATGACTGTCTGAGCTTGCACAATCCACCTGGCATCCGGACCCATAAGAAATTGATGTGGCATCAAGCAAGACATCAATCCAATCTTCATCATTCCCTCCACTTCCATTCATTAATCTGCCTTATCATCATACCCGCCAGATCAACATCTATCTATCTCCGGCTCCCTTCCCTTTTAAAACATATTACATCTAACTATTATCACATTTCAATATGTCCTCGCCCAGTTCAAATTGCCTTCATAACCCCTTAATAGAACCTACACCACCATCCGTAGCCATTGAACATCGTTTAACAACCCGGCAAAATTGGGAATTGCCACTAGCCAAAGACCAAGTGACATTCATTGATCACGACTGCAGAATGGATAGGGAGGGTTATCCACTTTACCCAAATCGTAATACAACTTTTGTGCTTCAGCCAGGTGCCCAGATCACCAATTTCGGGAACGTTGGCTATTCAAAGACTACCAGCAATGAGAAAAGTAAAGACAACAGATGGAAAGTCATCCGGGTCCGCTGCTTGGGTGTCTTGCTCTGCGATTCCGAAGACTGCGACTATGCCGGGCCTCCACCAACTGGACAAGGGAAGATAGAGGAGTTGATTGGAAGGTCAGATACACTTCATTAGTTTGTGATATGACTTGTACATGTACTCAAATTACTACCCGTCTCTTTGAACTATCTTCAGTAATCGAAGCTGTCCGGCATCAGGTGGCGAGTGTCCAGGAAAAGTTCACTGGCAGGCTTGCACAGGAACTCGACTCAGGTTTGACATCGAAATAGGCACTGGATGGGGTCTCCTACGACACACAGGTTTCCACAACCACCCATGGCCAGATCCTAAGAAGCCCGATCCTCTGGCAAAGAAGATGCTGGCCTTAGAGGTAGCCAAAAACCCAAAGGCTGGCGCCCTCCAATTGAAGGTTCGGGCATCCCATCTACCTTCATTCTTTCTTGCTGCCTAAGCTGACCCAAAACTTTCAGGTTGGGGATCCAAACACCTCACACGAGCCATACAGCAGTGTAATAGATATCCACGAGTCGCTTGGAAACTCAGACCGGCTCCGGTACTACAGACGCGAGGTCCTTGAAAAGATGGACCTGGTCCCTAACAAATCGGGTGGAGGGGACAAATTCTTACACGATATGTTCTTGTGGCACCAGTTCAGTCCGATTTCTGGATCCTATACTCGTTTAACCATTACCGTTGTGCTAATCTGAAGCAATTGTTCTTTTTTTGTTTGACAGGCGGGGATTGGAAGTCATCTCCTCATCGTTCAGGTCGGACAACGAGCACTTTACCTTTCAGACTCCATGGATGGCTGCTAGGCTATTGGATCGCACGCAAGAAGAAAATGGATCAATGTACTATAAAGGCGGTTTGATTTCCGATGTCACATACCGCTTTTTTGACACAGGATACTTGCTCACAACTTCAATGTATTGTCAGCAAATCAATCGATGGATTCCGATTCAACTTAGCTGGATACGTGGTTTGTCTGAGAATTATTACAAGATTCACTTTGCAACTCTATTCCGTCAATTCATGCGACCCGAAATCCTAGATGAGGATCGGAAAGATCTGGCCCGGAACATTGTTGATTTCTCCAAGGCTCAATCAGAAGGATTCATATCGGCATACCTGGAAGTCTTTGGTGGGACCGACCGAGTTGAAGCACGTAACAAACTCAAAGGCTGTAAGCAGCATTATCGTGCCTCAATCACCCGCATCAAACGCAACCGTGCGGTTATCATGGCAGATGAGGTTGTAAGTAATCAGATTTTGTGAATCCAACATCCTCATTGGACTGGATTGCTGATACAATTTTTCCATCAGTCCGTCTTTGAAAGGATGTGTGAATCGTTGTTGGTTGCTTCAAAGGAGGGAAGCCCGACCCATGAACAAAAGATAGACGAGATTCGACGCCGATTCCCAAAGGTGAAGAAGTGGATTGACTGGTGGACAATGGCCGATGTTGAAGCCATGTTGTTTCCAAGCCGGAATGGAAGGTTAGAAGATAGCCCCAATGATCTCTCTGGCCTCCCAGATACAACCAACGCTCAAGAAAGCATGCACAGGGTGTACTACATGTTGAGGTATGCCTCTGAATTAATTACAAACTAGATTCCCAACAAGATTGTTCTAATGTTTCTTGTTTTTAGCAACGGTAAGAAGTCCTTGATGATCGGGTTGATCGAACTCTTCGCTTTCGTGAAGGCCCTAGAGAGGGACTGGGAACATGTCCGACGTGGAATGACAATAGCTTATGGCTCCCTTCCAAGCAAGCAGGTAGATGTGGCACAGTCCGTTGGCTGGACAAAGCTTAACAAGCGTCAAAAATCTGCTGTCAACGATGGACGACCCCCCGATACATCGGAACAGCTCCTTTCAGACTTGGAACGTGCACCCAAACGAGCAAAACTTGGCCGGCCGAAAAATTCACCAAACATTATCAAGAACACACCAGCCACTTACACATCGTATGTTGCCTCAAATCAGCCAAAAGCTCGTAATCGGTGTTGGCTGGCTGCAGCCTTAGAGTCTTTGTATGCTGTTTACAGCCCGCTCTGGCTGCAAGAACCTGGGGGAAAGAAGGATGATCTATTTTTCTTTCTCATCTCTCATTTCACATGTCGGACAACTTACGAGATGACAAGAAGCACGCAAGTGCGATCAATCCTGACTCGAGGCTCCAACAAGCTCTTCAACGAGGTGCACAAACTTTTTCCAGAAAGCTTTGTCCATGGCGAATTTGCGTCTTTGGATTTCTTTGTGGAATTGATGCTGGATCCGACCCGAAACAAGTCAAAAATGTTACCAAAACTGTTTCAGGTCGAAGAAAACCGCAAATTCACCTGTACTTTCCACCCAGGTCAGCAGCAACATCCTCGTGGATCTCGTACCTTGAGTGTCATCAAGATAACCAAATCAATGTTTGACACAAACAACATTCGGTATTCAAACTTCATTGACCTTTTCAATCAATGGACAAACGGTGGTCTTCTTGGAGTTTCTGGACTTCAGTGTCGCAAATGCATCAGCAAATCACATCAGGACGGCCAGCCGTCCCCCAACACACCCACGTTCCAAAGTTATCTGAGTGAGCGATCGACTCTATCCTTTCTCGGCAATACACCTCCGGCTCATCTATACTTCCATGTTGAAGTGGCACCAATCTTGTCAAGGGACACCCAACAGGAGATCATGGGTGGTGTCAATTGGCCCTTCAAGCTCACATTCAGAGGCGAAGAGTACACCTTGATATCACGTGGCTTTTGGACCGGCGCCCACTACTGGGGAAAGGTTTTACGGCATTTCAACGGACTCACCGGTGTATGGTTGCACGATGACCACCTCAATGGGGGGTTTGCCCAGTTGGTTAGCCAGGTTCCAGGAAGTATCAGCGGTGCACACCCAGACACCAGCTCGTTAATATACTCTCGGTGCTGGACACCAACTGAGACTCAGTTTATAGACAATAGCATTGTCAAGATCAAGAGAGACAACCCTAAGGTTACCATCTCCGACATCCCATTTGTGAACATGCAAGCAGTGATTTGTTCTGCATTTGATTCGGCATTACCTCATCTGACTGGCAATCCGATTCCACCCCCCGAGCCTGTGCCCTCCGTCAAGATCACTTCACCGGACGATGACTACAAACTAGACGGTTAGTACAGGCAATTTGAATTTCTAGCATCAAAGAAAAAAGAAAGAGACCCGAGCTAATGTTTTCCATGTTTGTAGGTAACCAGATGGAAATTGACTCTCAAGCCTGCAAAGATGCGACACTTGAGCCGCCATCTGAAAGGGGCTTGAAGATTCGCATCAAGAGGACCAAACCAACGAATCAAGACTCCCTTGATCTAGCGATCCCGTTAGATTCACAACTACTTCATGTATCTGGTGCACCAACGGTGTCTTTGACCCCATCTCTCCCAATTGAAGTCCCACCCAAGACCATCCCTGCCACGACCCCAGCGAAGCGAACAAAGAAGACTCGAGTGCCGAAAGAGCTTCCAAAGATCAAGATTCATCAAAAGGAAAAATTCGTTCCAGCCCCTTTGACTAGTGCCGACTGGAACCGCCTTGCGAGTGTTAGTCGGGCCTATTGGGACGAGCACTGGGAGGCGAAAGGGATTAACGACTCCGCAGTGAAACCAGTTGCGAGCACCGCCAACGTGGATTTGAAGTCACTACATCGGCCGAATATCGGCCAAGCGGACCCGGTACCTGCGCCGGCTAGCAAGGCTGTAGCTCCGGGTTGTCAAGGGACCCGTAGATCTTTGAGAAGGCGGGTGGCATAGTGGGCGCGTCTCAATTGATGGATCTTTGCCTCGTGCAATGGTTTTTTTTTTTCTTTTTTTTTCTTTTTTTTCCTCAATCAATGGGCATTTTGTTTCCCTTTTCGTTTTTACCTCAATCGATGGCTGTTTTTCATCGTTTTTCTTCAATTTCTTGTTATTTAAAGCTTTTTGAGTGATGGTCTTTGACCGTCCTTTTCTTTTTTTATGATGCTATTGTGTAAGTGGACCGGTGTAGGATTATTATGTGCCTGTGTAAAATTTTTATGTGTTTTTAAGGTGATTTTGTAATTCAACTTGTGCAAATTTGAAGTGTGATAGCAGTTTGGGCATTTTTACAAGGTCCGCTTTCCACGATGGCAAGAGAGACAAAACGCGTGGTTGCAAAAATGACAGGCTCGTGGGTAGATGGGTAAATTTACACAGGATTTTTTGCGGTGAGGTGCTTTGCAAAGTGGCAAAACCCATCCAACTTTGTAAAATTCCTCTGAAAACCAATTTGGTGCAAATTTACAAGGGAGAGGGTTTACAGGGACTAATCTCCGTAAAAATAACATTGTAAATTTCCACATCCCCATATACATCTACCAAGCATACACCTCGGCTGAACTGAGCGTCTGACAAAAGGCATACAGTTATCAAGAGGGAGCCTCACGATGGGTTGATGAGGCCGTGTTTAGACAAAGACTTAACATTACGCTCTACCAGTACCACATCTTGTGAATTTTTTGAGGCTGAGAAACCATTGAACCCCTAGCTTACCTTGTGGATACCAAAGACGAACTATATATGCAGAACCCATAGCGATCTCGCAAGATTTATTGCCTGCCTTGCTCACTGGAAGACTACCATCTCCGTCGATGAGTCCTGCTAGCCATTGGCAAATATGGTGATGTTAAAAATGTTGCGCGCGTAGTCTCTGAGGTTATTGACTCGATACATGAAGATAAATGTGTCGGTTGTTGGTGACCTGCAAATCGGCCCCCCTGCACTAGGGAAGGAGTCACGCAATTCCAACACTAGCTTAACACTAGCTTACCAAAGCCTCTCGAACGGAGGGTCCCGAAGGGACCCCGCGTCCCCGCGGGATGCTCTCCGTAGGAGAGGCTTGGGAATTATCAGCCATTTTCTGTGGTACAAGTTTGGCTTTTGGAGGGTCAAAATTACAAAAAAAAATTAGGCTCCGTTTGACAGTCCATTAAATCATAAGAAAAGATATGTAAATCCGGATAATCAGAATAAGGTTGATAAACCGTAAACCAATTATCACAAAGCTAGACAATCATCTGCTTATTACAGTGGATTTTTGGTGTTGTAGCATGACCAGCCAAACATGATTTTCACTTATGATAATAAATGCGGTCCCCCAAAAAGATTTGCAGGAATTTCCTATGATATTTTATGATATCATGGACTGCCAAATGGAGCCTTAAAAATTGGTTGTTATGTTTATCGCAATTATGCCTCCTATGTTGGAATGCTTATATCGTGTGTATGCTTCTATCTAGTTGTATTTAGTACATCAGGCTTCACACCGTGATTCCACTCCTCACTGAATCTAAACTATGTTTTCTTTTGTGATTGCTCATTGTCACAAGACGTGCACTTCGAAAGGGGTTGTATCGGTTACAACCCCCCTCGATAAGGTCGCCCGGAGGCGACCGATATAAGATCGGTCTGATTGACCAATTTTATATTGGTCGGGCCCACTGATACATTAGAACAAAGGAAAAATGTATTGGTGGGCCTGGCCAATATAAAATCGGTCAAGGAGACCAATGTTATATCGGTCGCCTTGGGGCAACGTTATCACGGGAAGTTGTAACTGATACAACCCCTTTCGCCGTGGTGTGAACCTTCAGTCCCACAGCCGTTGTTCACCGCAACAGGTTATGACCCCTTCGTCTCTCTAGCTCCCTAGCTTTTAAAAATCCATCAATCTATACTCAGACTTGAATTTTTTTTGTCTTTCGACTTAGCAACTTCAAGTTTGTGGAACAGAAACCCGACGTACTCAAACATGCCGCTCAGGACTCTGAACAACCCCTCTCACCTCATACGTACGATTCCCACATTGGACGGAAATTTGGTAACGTTCGCAGCCTGGTGCTCTTGGCTTTTGGACGTTTTATCGATCATGAATGTTCTGGATATTGTTGACAAGTCACTCCTTCGCCCCTCCAATACTAAAGAAAGCAAGTCGTCCGGTCGCTCCCCAGATCAAAAGGGCTACAATCCGGAGGATTTTGGTTTGGACTGGGATGCCTTGTCAGATCTCGCTTGGTCAACAATCAAGTTGACACTCTCTGTTGACCTCACAATACGCTATGGTGAAGTTAAACCGGCATCGAAACTGTTCTCAACGATTGTTGATGCTTATGAGAAGAACACCCGAGCGTGTTGGGTACAACTTGAGGATAATTTTTGGCTAGCTCGCCATGACCCCAATATGCCAATTGCAAAATGGATCGCTAGGATCAGAAAGGCAGCATCTGACTCAAACACTGCAAAAATAGCACCGGCCAACCAACAGGTATGCGATCGGCTCTTGCAAGGTCTTGACAACTCGTGGAAAACAATTTGTGATCACTTAGTCTACTCCCCAAAAGAAGTAAGCCTTGATGATGCAATCGGGGCACTTGAAGAGCACAAGCTGTCTACTACAGCGCCTATGGACCATCTTGGACACAAAGGCAAAACTTTGGCATCCGTTGCAAAGACCAAGCGTATGGGCTGTTACAACTGCGGTGAGAAAGGACACCATTTGCCGAGATGCTCAAAACCAGCGAAGAAGAACAAATCATTGACTCAAGCAAATCAAGTTACGACTTGTGCTGGTGCTACGACGGCAGTCCCTCCTGGGTGTTACGGTTCTGAACGACAGAAAAGTGATGACAACAATAGCTTCAACAATGAAATTGATGTTGTGTGGGGATAGTGGGTCGGATGTTCAAAGTTTTTTTCTTAACAAGCACAACTTCGGTGCAAGTTGAAGGCTAATTCCTCCTGTCTGACTGTTTTTGAGTACAAATATTGTTGTGATATTTCCCTTCTCCTTTTACACAGTGGATCTCTGGCCTGATTAATCTATAGTTTCTGTCCCCCGTATGAGATTTTTTTCCGCTCTACAAGCCACTTAAAGTAGATTGGATTTTTTTATCTCTCTTTCAACCACTAGTTTTCAGCAAGGGGGGGTGTTGGAATGCTTATATTGTGTGTATGCTTCTATCTAGTTGTATTTAGTACATCAGGCTTCACACCGTGATTCCTCTCCTCACTGAATCTAAACTACGTTTTCTTTTGTGATTGCTCATTGTCACAAGACGTGTGAACCTTCAGTCCCACAGCCATTGTTCACCGCAACATCCTAGTGAGCCTCTGAAAGAGGGGCTTATGAGTCAAGTAATCATATATTGGTTGCCTCTAGGTGACCTTATTGTGGGGGGTTGTAACCAATACAACCCCTTTTGCAGTGTTGGCAACTTGGCTCGTTTTTTGTTTATCCTTGTAGGTGATTTTTTCTGCTCATGTCTATTTCGATTTCTTCTCTCTTGCATGCAACCAAGGATTGCACTCTCATCACTTGGGGTTTAAATCTTTGTTTTTGTTGCCTTATTTGGTATTATTGTACATACGCAGCTTGCAGTAATCAACATATGAACTGTGTATCCCAAAAATTAACAATTGAACTGATCAAAAATGAGTTAACATATTAGCATTGATAATAATCCTGATGTTTTGGTGTCTGTAGAAAACAGCCAATACCCAAAAGGATCCATTGGATGCCCAGTTGGATGGTTTTCATCCATCCAACTGACACCCATTCAGACAATTTTGCCAAAAATTTTAGGGTTTTTCGGATTGCCATCCACAACATGGTCCTCGCAGATCCAGAGACAACTGTCCAGGGCATCAGCCAAAAATCGACCCCCCCTGTTCTGTGGTGTCCATTGCTGGTTCAGCATGGAGCTCGTACATATTCACACTCTCGACGTCAAGTCGACAGGCGAAATGTATGCAAAATGCACGCGGGCGCACTCATATTGCATATCAAGCCCCCCTCGCCCGGCTCAATTGCCCACGGATTGACCGCACTCGAATATTATTTCTCTCGGCCAAGGCTGAACACCATCAAGTTGACAAATACCACCCCGGTTTACCTTCAAGCTCGAGGGAGAACCTTCTACGATTAGGACGACCGAGGAAAACGATCCATATTCCAAGCACTAGCACACGAGTTTATACCACCATGTCACCACCCCTCTCGTCCACTCAGCATCGCGATAGCGGGGCGGCCCGATTCTTAGGCTCCGGTACTTCAGGTTAGTCAAGCTCATGAATCAACGAATTCCGCGTCTTGGACCAAGAAGGGAAAAAAATGAATCTATTGGTTGACCATTCTTTTTTCGGCTCTTTTCTGCAGGCGTGGCGGAATTGATGATTTTCCATCCAGTCGATACTTTGGCGAAACGATTGATGTCCAACAAATCAACCTCCTTAAACTTCAACCAAATCGTCTTCAGAAACTACGCAGACGCTCCGATCGGAAAGAAATTCCTGTCATTGTTTCCAGGCTTAGGATATGCAGCCGGATACAAAATCCTGCAAAGAATTTACAAGTTGAGATTTCTTCCCCTACATGTTAAAATCGCGCATTTATTGATTTAATTTTTTTTATGTACTTGGTAAAAGGTTCGGTGGTCAACCATATTTCAAAGATTATCTGAACACACATCACAAATCGAAGTTCGTGTCCATGTTCGGTGAAAAGAATGGAAAGGCTATGACGGAAGCCGCAGCAGGATCATTAACGGGAATCGGCGAAATCGTCCTTTTACCATTGGATGTACTGAAGATCAAGAGACAGTGAGTCGCTGACATTTCCTTGGAATTGACTGGTCTATTCTCTCTTTTGT